TAACCCCAATCGAAGCTTGAAGAATTTAATATAAAATGACGCCTCCTGCTGGAAATAGACTGTCTGCCAATCGGCAAAGTTCATCCGATGGCGAGGACGAAGTCGTTTATCATTTTCCATTATCGCCGTGTCCAGGGAACCAGGACCGGACCAAGATGCCGTCCCTTCCGTTTTAAAAGCACTTTGTAACTTGGCCGGACGCAGCGTCGCATCTTGTCACGTAGAAATGCGCTTGTCCCCTCTTTCACCAACAAAGAAATCGCATTTTTATAGGAGTCTTCAGCTCAAATTGAATGTTTTGTATAGTGAGAAGTTGTCAAAGAATATGAATGTAACTGATTTACAAGATTTGACATATTCAATTTTGATACGTTATCACATAGATGGGTACATACATTTTGTGTACTGGTAAAAAATGATAAAATTGGAGTGGTCAGAATTAAAATAGGTCAATCCTAATTTTTTATTATTTTTTTTCCATAGCAACTGTTAAATTTGTCTTATATCTATCAAAAATAGTAGATAAAATAGTAGGTACTTTAATTGCAAAAAGCAAATTGAAAAGAAATTCCACGACATCTTCTGGGTTTAAAATTTTTGACTTTTTCGGTTTGTAACCGCTACACGACTGCTTCAAGAAAGCTATGAGCTTGCTATATCTACAAAGTTTAGATGTTACTATACTACTACGGAAATTTAAACGGTATAGCTTATTCTTAACGTTGAAATATCAATGTTTTCATTGACCAGTATTGTACTTTTTAGCATTGAATAGTACGACAATTTTCTGTGATTTCTCTAAGGCTTTCGATTGTGTAAATCACAATATCTTAATTAACAAATTGCAATACTATGGTTTCAGGGGAGTGCCACTCGAATGGCTTAAGTCATATCTTGGCAACAGAGGGCAGCTTGTGAGGATTGATACGTCTATGTCTTCTTGTAAGCCTATAGAATGTGGTGTCCCTCAGGGTTCAGTACTTGGCCCTATTTTGTTTCTGGTGTTTATCAACGACATTGCAAATCTAGACATTAGCGGTAAAATCTGCCTCTTTGCGGACGATACTAGTTTCCCTTGGAGCGGCCCAGATGTTACGACACTATATGATACTATATCCTGTGACTTACGCACCATTAAATCTTCGTGCGATTCTAATCTCCTATGCCTCAACCTATCAAAAACTAAAGTTTTGTCATATAAAAGTACTATACAACCTTTTGTACTTAATAACACCACTATTGACGTCGTGGACTCTGTGAAATTCTTAGGACTTGTTGTAGACAACTCGTTAAAATCGGACTTTCACATCGAAGCTCTATCAAAGAAACTAAGCGCTGCCTGTTTTGCGCTAAGATCAGTTTCTAAGGAACTTAACTTCTCAACCTCTAGAATAGCCTACTATGCCCTTTTTGAGTCACATTTTCGTTATGCCCTTCCATTCTGGGGTACTTGCTGCGCAACAAAATTTGATTGTATTTTCAGACTTCAAAAGAGAGCAGTTCGTTATTTATTGGGACTGAACAGTAGAAATCACTGCCAGAATTTCTTTAAATTTTCAAAATACTGACTCTTCCTTCTTTATTCATTTTTGAATCCGTTTGCTTAATGCGCAAGCACATATCTGCTATTCACGAAGGCCATCTCGCAACTATCCACTTAGGAATGCAGAGCACGATCTTTATCTGCCAACCCCGAGCTCAGAACTAGTTAAGGGTTCAATACTGTACAATGCCAAAAAAATGTACAATCATCTGCCTTTGAATATCAAATCGCTTTCATTCTTTCCCGCATTTCACAAGGCTCTAAAATCATACCTACTGGAGAGAGTCCTATATGCGGTAAACGACTTTTTTGTTTTGGTTTGGTTGTGACTGCGTACTGTTCTAAAATTTTCCATGTATATTCTTTTTGTAATTTTAAAGACTTAAATTTTTTTGAATTGTATTATTTGTATTGTGTATTTTTTGTTGTTTGTATTTTTTTGTGATTTTGTTGTTTGTGAGTGCTTTGTCGATGAAGCTGTTTTGGCTTTTTGTACAATAAAGCGTTGTTTGTTTGTTTGTTGTTTGTTGTTAGCGATCGAAATAGATTACTGGAGGAGATCTGCTCGAAAAGAGAACAAATAACCAATGACAGAGTAAGAGAGATTATGGGAGCAGAACACACAATTGTGGACGACATAAGAACAAAACAACTCATATTGTAGCCCGATCACAGAATACCAAAACAAATTTTACTGTGGACACCTCGAGTGTGGATAAAGAACTAGAAAATAGAGAAATACCTGATGATCTCTGGCTAAATAGAGAAGAGTCGAGGTTAGGTGTCGGAAAACGTCGTAGAACGTTCTGAAACGACTTATATATTCGGGATTTAAATGGAAGTAGTTTGGATATGGCGTTTGTCGCCTCAGCCTGAATATCTGTTGGTAATTTACTTATTTCGTTTTGAGCCATTTCTGGCTCCAATTCAATCAGCAATCGACACGAAAGAGAATTAAAAAATATTGACTCAAAACTGACAACTAAAGAGACAGCTTTATTTATTTGTCAAATTACATAGAAACCAACGCCAACCCAGCACAAAATTTTTTCTACTCGTAATAAATTCCTTGAAATAATAATTTCTGAATATTTTTTAAAACGTAACTCGCTATGGAAAAAAAATAATGTTTGACTGAATAACTGACATCAAATCTTCATTTTAACCAGAAATAGCTAGTTAATTTTAAAACTATTACTAAGTATTTAATTTAGCCGTAACTTATACAAATAACTAAATAAGTTATTTACACAACGCTTACGATATTTTAAGTTAGAATTTTTTTTATTAGTTAGAGGCAGGTACAATAGTTTTTTTCTAAAAAAAATATCAAGCATCGTACTGACCAATGTAAGTACTCTTTTATTCTTTTTACATTCATCCGGAAACAAAAGAATATCTGCATATCTCTCTTTCGCAAACACAATATGATTATTTTATACTGCCAGAGCATATTTTTCCCGTAGAGACTCTTGACTTTTCTTCCTTATGCCATTTTTGCATTCTAAAAATCATTTATCAAAAGCTTTGTTTTCAATCAGATTCAGAATAGCCCATACTCCTACTTTACGGGATACTACTATGGGTAATTCTACAATAAATGTGGAGATATATCACTCAAGTATGGAAAAATCATATTTTGTTATATGCATCGTTATTTATAGTGATTTACAGTAATTTTGTTAAATTATACAAATATTCTCGTTGGTTATTGGTTTGAAATAAATATGACAATGCCCTCCAATGAAAATTCGAGTTGCTTAACTCTAATAATTCTAATTCTGAACTAGCAAATGAGCTAGATGCTTTACCTAGACCATTATTCAGAAGCTACAAACCTATCGATGAAAATATACATGAACCAGAGGATATTGGTACACAGGTACATAGTATCAAGTTTATTATAATGTTTTTCTTGGCTTTAAATCAAATGTTTTTTGATGTTTTAGAATAGTTAGTTTGAATAATAATATTTAACTTTAATTTTTACAATTAACTAGAATAATATTTACCAAAAAAAATGAAGAAGAGTGACAGTTATAATAGAATCACCCTTATAAGCCATTCACATCGTTCAGATTTTTTACCTGATTCTCCTGCGTTGCGTATTCCTCTAATTCTTGGAGGTTCCATGTCCAGGTAAAGCCTTTTTGAATTTTTTCTAGAAAATAAAATTAAAAGGAATGAGACCCCAAGGTATTTTCTTTTTTTAAGGGATGCAGGAAGATAAATTTAAAGTACATTCCTTGTTTAACAATATCCATAGTGGCTTTCAATTAAGTACGTACCGTTTAACTCCATAATATACAGAACTACTATGAATGTTATTCTTTTCACTGATAAGATAATGATCGCAAAATTTATTTTTAGTGAAAATATTTGCTAACAAAAAACGCTGTTTATGAAAAATAATATACAGGATGGTTGAACATTCCTATAAGTATAAAATTATATATTCAGATATTAGTAAATTTTAACTTTTTTTCGATTTTTGTCCACGGGACGAAGCACTGTGCGGCGTGGGAGTTGGACACTAAAAGCAAGTGCCATAAACAGACTGGAAGTTTTCGAAATGTGGATATACCGCAGAATCCCCAAGATACCATGTACGGCCAAGATAAGAAAAGAGGATGTACTAAGACGTATTAATAGAGAACATGAACTTCCTTCAACACTATAAAAAAAGACCTCATACCTGGGTCACGTCATGCGTAACCATAAATATCAATTTCTCCAGTTGATTATCGAGGGCAAGATGGAGGGCAGAAGAGGTTTGGGACTGAAAAAAATGTCGTGACTGCGGAACATAAGACAGTGGACAGGCATTAGTAACATACAGACGTTGATCCACACAGCCAGAGATAGGGAAGTCATGGAAAGTGTGGTCACAAACATCCATTAATGGATAAGCAGAGAAAGAAGTAGATTGTTCTCGTTCAAAATAGTGTATCAGTGAAGCTACAAGCTCTTTGCTTCGACTGTTTAAATGCTTCGGCATATTTTCAACACACAATTTCAAGAAATGCAATAGAAAAACTCGAAAATTTAGTTCTTAAAAGAACTGTTTGTGCTTAAAAGTACAATTTTTAAAAACAAACTATGAAAATACTCACAAAGATACAACAACACGATATTATACAAAATAATGACTGACATTAGGATAATTGTCAAATAATAAACGACAATCTTGCGGAAAACGGCGTAATGTGACCAACATAGCGATAATAAAATTCGGTTTAAACTAATTTTGGCAGCTTTAAACTAAATTAAATATCTGATACAATCATTTGCTCTATAAAGTAAAATTATACAACCAATTTAAATATTTTTGCCAAAATTTCATTTAGTCAGGTTTATAGACCTTAGTATCAATGTCGATATGATTGATTACATTATTTTAATTAGAATATACCCGAATATACCTAACTAATACCTTTTTTATATCAGTCAAAAAATGACAAACGTTATTTTGACAGTTTTCAAAATTTAAATAAAATGTCTAAAAAACCACCAAATGTTACTAATAATGCAAACCCTTACTCTGCGAGCTACAGTTCAAATTCAGAAACTCCAATGGACGAAATCAAATTAAACGTTAGCCATTCCGAGAATAATCTAGAGAACTCAAAGAATATCAAAAAGAAAATACTGAACAAGGTAAAATCCTGGAGCTCGAAAGACTTGCACCAAAATAATTTAGGAAATTCTGAAACGGATTCGGCAAAACTAAACCAATCAGAAGTGATCGAATCCAATGATTTAAGTAGTAGTTTAGTCAATGCAAGAGATAGTCTGGACAATTTAATTAAAGCTGATAAAATCATGACGAAAACTAAAACAGATCCCTGTCTTTTACATCAAAACAGTCAACGTATGGCCGAATCACCGAAATCTTCACCTCAATTAAACGAAAAATGGTGCGCCGGTACTTCTAAAGGGTCGTACTGGAGTCAGTACGATAAACAGAACAAGAAAAACAGAAAAGAGTCCAAAAAGAAAAATATGATCCTTAAAAACTTCGAAGTACCTAGAAACGAGAGCCACTCCATGCCTACCGAAGGTAACAGAACCCCATTCAAGAAAACCAACACGAGTAAATCAAACGAAGAAGAAAATGCTTCATATAATGAAGATGCATCGATGATCGAAGAAGAGCAGACATATAAATACAAATATTTTCCGCAAAACAGTAAATCTGTAGTTTTTACCAACGAAGTTCTGGTCGTGTACTTCAACAATGAAGACGTGGTTGAAGAATCAAAAGAACCATTGAAGAAGGAAGTTGATCAGCAAGAGAGGAACAAGGAGATGAGGAGGATACACCTGAACAAAACACAGGAGAAATACAATTTGTGTTTGTTTTGAATGATTTACTGTAACGTTTTGTGAATATCGTATAGGTGTGTACGCGTGGCGTTCTCCAAAAAGGAAAATTAAATAATTTACCGCATTATGCAACCAACATTTCTGGAGTTTTTATTTTCACCTAATCTGTACAGGGTGAGTCAACTATAGAGTAAAGTCCATTATCTCATTTGTTTCGAGGTTTACAAAAATATGTTAAATACAACTACAAGTTATAGGAAAGGTTAAGATACACATTTTAAAATTTCTTATAGAGTATACAGGGTGCTTCAAAAAAATGTGCGGATAAAATATATGTTTTTTTAATATACACCCAATTTTTTATTTTATTTTTAGATTCTGCGTAAAATTTTATATTTTTTTATATGTTATATACCTAAAATTAATAGTTTTTGTAATATTTAAATTTGTTTAAATAGCAGTGCAGCGTGGTAAAAAATTGTCAGTTATGCCATTGTTTCTGAAGTTGGAGTACCAAAATTTTGTATGAGAGTTATAGAGATGAAAAAAATACATATATAAAGATATTTTGGTTAAATGCTACGGGGTGTTTAAAATACAGGGTTGTTCACCACATACGACACGGAGTATTGTAGCTAAACGATGAGATTTTTACAAATTGTAAGTTTTGGATTCGATGAAGGACTATTAGAGGTACAATTTAAAAATAATTTTACAAGATACAGAGTGTCCCAAATAAGTAAAAAATATCAAAGTTGTATTTTTTTAAATGGAACACCCTGTATATTATTACATTTTTAGTTTCTTCGACTAAAATAAAGGTAAATTTGATTAAGGTCTATTATACTTAAACCTTACCGTTTTTGAAATATTTTCAATTTTGTGAAATTGCAGTAAAAATTTTAAGGCTTCATTTCTCCAAGGGTATCAAAGTTTTTAATACTAAATATTTACTGAAGTTTATTTACTGATCAGTTATTGTGTTGCAATAATAAAAATAATACTACCTTATACAGAGTGTCTAAAAATTTATTTTAAATAATTATTAGCTTCAAACGGCAATAACTGTTTGCGTTGATTAATAATAATTGCTCCAAATACTAAAAAACTGAATTTTGTATGGTTATTAGACAGTGTGATAAAAAGTAACACCTTAAAAATGATATTTCATTTTATAATAAATGCTTATTTATAACAACAGAGTCTTTAATTTGATAACTTATTATTATATTGATTTCTGACACAAATCCACATTTATTTATAATAATTTATTAACGAACACAATTAAGTATGTAATTAATTAGTATATCGGCGGAAATAATGGTGTTATATTTAATTAATTGTATACTATTTTATAAAGATTTAAATAGTTTTTTTTTTGCATACAAATGGGCTAGTAATATTATCGTTTTGCTAAAAACGATAATATTACTAGTCTGTACATTTTGTACATTTGCTGCTTTAAAAACAATCTAAAATGTCAATATTCCATGGATATATTGATAAATGAGGTCTAAATTATAAGAAAATGCATTTTCTACAAAAACTTGAAGGGATAGGTAAAAAATGGTATAACACAATTTGATAGACAATTTAATTGTGCATCTGATTCTCCTAAAATATACAGGGCATTCCATTTAAATTAAAGAAGTTATTGCCGTTTGAAGCTAATAATTATTTAAATTAAATTTTTAGACACTCTGTATAAGGTAGTATTATTTTTATTATTGCAACACAATAACTGATCAGTAAATAAACTTCAGTAAATATTTAGTATTAAAAACTTTGATACCCTTGGAGAAATGAAGCCTTAAAATTTTTACTGCAATTTCACAAAATTGAAAATATTTCAAAAACGGTAAGGTTTAAGTATAATAGACCTTAATCAAATTTACCTTTATTTTAGTCGAAGAAACTAAAAATGTAATAATATACAGGGTGTTCCATTTAAAAAAATACAACTTTGATATTTTTTATTTATTTGGGACACTCTGTATCTTGTAAAATTGTTTTTAAATTGTACCTCTAATAGTCCTTCATCGAACCCAAAACTTGCAATTTGTAAAAATCTCATCGTTTAGCTACAATACTCCGTGTCGTATGTGGTGAACAACCCTGTATATTTATGAATTTCAACTAAGTAATATTAAAATTAAAAAAATCTCAAATTGTTTAAAAGATACACTCTATATATTTTTATTTTTTCTGATAGATTTTACAAAATCTTCAACTTTTATTAAGCATGTCATATATCTATTTTTAATAGTTTGCGATTTATTCCAATTTGTTCTATTTTTACCCATATTTTTAATACAATTATTGTGCTATAACATCATAGTTACCTTGACAAAACAAAAATATGTATAACTTACCTTTAACAAGTAGTTTAATAGTTAGTTACAATTTTATTATTAGTTAATAGCTATTTATGTAGCAAGTTGCGAAATGAATGTGTTGAAGCACGGGACTCAAAATTGTAGTTGTGTATTAAATTTTACCTGTATTTTAATCGTAGAAACTAAAAATCTAATTATAATAGGGTGTCCCATTTAAAAAAAATATGCCCCCGTGGCTTTTTTGATTCGCACTCAGGGGATCGATTTGATGCAGAATCAAAATATATCACCTAAATTTTTAGCTTTTGAACTTTTGAACGGTTTTCGAGGTTTTCAAAAAAAACTGTTTTTTCAGTTTTATTTTTATTTTTATAGTAAAATTTAAAATTAATTAAAGATGATTTCTTCTAATTCTTAGAAGTCTAAGACATGAAAAAATAATATGATCATGATTCTTAAACGAAAAGCCGATTTTTAGCGGAGGAAAGAAAATTAAATTTTCATTTTTTTAACCTTCATGAAATATGTCACTCACTAAAAATCGTCAGAAAATGTCGTTTATACTTCTTTACACTCAGGAATTTTTTAGAATTTTTTGAAGTGGTGGAACAATATGAAAAAAATTAAAAACAATTTTTTTTTCTAAAATCTTCTCTTTTAACTTATAATTTTTTTTAGTTTAAAAAAGTGCGTAGAAAATATTTTTTTACTTCAAATTCACAATGACTTTGCTTATTACACATTTTCAATCATATTGCTACGCAATGATTACGTAAAGACAGGGTTTTTGAAAAATTCGCGTCAGACTGACGCGTTATAACGCCATCTACTGGGATTTTCAGTAATCAGCAATCATATTCCTCTAAAGTTTTGCTTATTTAGGTAGCCAAACAATAAACTAGTCTTCATTGTTGTGTTATGTCATTGTATGTATTAAATTGCAACAAACCCATTAATTCAATTTGATCTATATTTAAAGTGGTAGGAGTTTGCAAAAGAGTTCTAGGGTCCTTTAGTACTTTGGTAGAACAGTTATGAAAGAACTTACTATAGAAAAAAGCTTTTTAAGTGCAGAATGTGTAATGTTAAAGCGCAGAGCTCATTCTCTTATGTTAGAACGAAGTCTTTCCTCCTTACCACATTCATTAATAGAGGCTTCTTCTTCACTCTCTCTTAACCAGACATCTTCCTGTTCCTAATCGTTTTGGCAACTTTCAGTTGGAAATATCTCAGGTTGATTCCGATCTCTGCTTGTGGATGGCAAATTTGCATGTTGGCTTTCAATATTGGTAGATGTAGTTTGAATGAGGTTTGGATTATTCATATTTTTTTTTAAATTCTGAAGAACCTTTCTGTTGAACGTAAATGTATTTTTGTGTTTTATCCAGTTTATTTTTTTATTATTCATTATAATACCGAATTGCTTGCTTGCTAATATATTATTTGTTTTGATTATATTAAAAATTTGAGGTTATGTCATTAGGTTTGGTTGCGACAAGGAAAGAGAGGGGACAGCTAACACGCATATTCTCCCGTGATCGGTTAGTGAGGCCAAAATTCGATCGGCGGCCATACTTTGGTGACAAGATTTCGAGGTGACACCGAGAGAATTTTTATGTTTTTTGTGACAACTGTTTTGTTTTAAATTTATAAACTGTATTGTTTAGTATGGTGAGATGTTCAACGTATGGCTGCAAAGGCCGAAGCGAGAAAAAAAGTGGCTGGAATTACATTTCACAGATCCAAAATCGATACACAACTTTTGTTATGTGGTCATAAAATGTACATTTTTCATTATAGCAGTAAAATATGTCAAATGCTTTTTAATATGTTTTGTACCACATCCAAACCAAACTATTTTAATAATTCCAAGTAGTATTTTCAATATCCTTTATTATAATTAATGTTTGAAACTATAAATAATGCTACTCAGCATGGATTTCTCCAGTGGCGTAGGGAATTATAATCAAGGAAATACAATTCCTGCAATAAACATTTTTTTATATAGTTTACATGTAAAAAATGTATAAAGTATTGTTATCAAATATGTAAAATAATTGTAAACTATTAAAAAAAAATTAAAAATTCTAGTGATAAAAAATCTATATGTATAGTTGTTATATAAAACTTAAATTTACCTGCCAAGATTTGCTGGGGGTGGACAAACTTGTGGTGGGCTACTTATTTTTTCAAAAAATTTGTTAATTTAGGTGTATAATAATAGTCTCAGTGAGTAATTAATAAAAATTTAAAAATAAATAAAATAACACAAAGCTTCTAGAATTGTTTATTTTTTTGTGGAATATTAGGATATTCTTATGATTGAAGGTAACAAATATTAAAAATTACATTATTCATTGAATCCGTACGCAAGTGTGAAGGGGAATGGCTTCCCCATATAATTTTACATATAAAATGACAGCGATCTTCATTTCATAGCTATCGCTGACGCCGTCTTTTTTCGATGTCGTTTTGTATAGTTTTTATGTCATTTTATATGTAGAATTATATGGGGAATATCATCGATCGTAATTTACAAGCCAACTGGACGTCGTTTTTTTTCGATTATACGGTATAATAATGAATCTAGCCAATTCTCTTCACACTTGCTTACGGATTCAATATTTAATGAATAATAATAATATAATTTCTAATAATCATTTGTGAAATTGTCATTTCCAAACAAACAAGAGGCCGTTTTTTTCGATCATACAGTATATATGTATATACACGTTTAAAATATATGTTATTACATTATTTTTTATTTAATTATTCATTATACACACGTTAATAAATAAATAA